CCCAGCCAGCATGGCTGGCTGGGGAATTCTGGGAGTTGAAGTCCACACATGTTCAAGTGGCCAAGTTTGAAAAACACTGCCTTAAAGTGCGGAATTCATTCACGGCAGCATGAAGCTTGATCGTTGTTGGCAGAAATGTGTAGCGAATGAGGTCAATTACCCAGAGATGTAAATACAGTTAACAAAAGAGTTCCTTTCAAAGATTATTTCCCTGTTTCATTGATTAAAATATCCCTAAAATATCACTATCCCTAGTGATGGAGGTAGAGACATTTTCATTCGGCCCTCGCTTTTTAATGTGTTGTTATCAGCTGCTCGGGCACAAGCCATTCTTCTATTATTGTCACATTTTAACACCTGGCATTTTTTGTCTGCCAAGCACACAGTGGGTAAAGAGACTTGGATCCCCCAACTCAGCTGGCAGGCAAACCTGGGGCAATTGCGGGTAAATTGCACGTCGGCTTGGCGAATTCAACAAACCAGTTTAAATCGAGGGAATTCATAGGTGGGGTTTATCTGTTAGGTTTGCTTCCTGAATTTACCCATTTGTATGGCTCACACGGGCTAGGTTGCTACTAAAAAGTAACCAGGGTTAACTGTAAGCAAATGGAGCATCTTGGTTTGGAACTGAGTGGTTTGCATAGGTTGTGGGAACGCAGCCACCTAGTGGATTGGTTACCTCTGAGGGTGTAGCACAAACCAGGGACTTGTAAACCCCGATGGGTAGCTGAGTGTGATGTATAAATCCTTCCAGTTGTGGTTAGTACAAGAAAACACAGTTGAGTAGAAACGTGGCATTGCAGAACCAAATTCTGGTCCCTCTTTGTGATGGTATTGTGGGGAAAAACCTTGGGAGACAGGGTGAAGAGACACAGCCGAGGGGACAGTCAGATAAGAGGGAGCATAGCCCTCAGCTGGATAATGGATGGGGCAAGAGGCTTGGAAGGGATCCTCCCGAGTTTCTCAGGCTGAAAAGGAGACGGGCAGGGGGGAATTGTACTTTCAGACTTGCAAGATTCTGTTAATGCAGCCTTACAATAAAGTAGAATTAACTCATCTGGTCGTGTTTCCTGTCTGGTCTACCTAGCCAGGCTGACACCCTTGGATCCTGCAAGGATCTCACGTGGCCATGTTTCTCCTTCCCCAACAGGACACCTGACAGACGAGCACCTCTCCCACTTCTTGCAGAGATGTCGTCTAGGACTGCGTTCCAACGGCATCATCGTCATTAAGGACAACATGGCCCAAGAAGGGGTCATCATGGACGAAGTGGACAGTAGTGTCTGCCGGGACCTGGACGTGGTCTGTAAGATCATCCGTCGTGCCGGGCTCAGCCTTCTAGCCCAGGAGAAACAGGAGAATTTTCCAGATGAGATCTATCACGTCTATACGTTAGCCATGAGGTGAAGGATGTCCGGGGAGGGTTCTCACAGGGCTCCAGGACAACCACGGTTTCCGGAGGCCCAGGATGAAGGGAAGAGGCAAGATCAGCCGTGGTCTCAAAAGGTGGGGAGCAGGGAGGGAAAGGTGGTTGCGGCCCTGTCAGTAGACTGGACTGGGACAGGGGAAGTAAAGATAGTCTTCTATGCTGGTTTGTCATGACGGTTGGAAAAAAGATTTGCCAAATATACCTTCTATGGTGGGAACAAGTTCCAGAATTGCATCTCCAGGAATCTGGCATAGCGTTCCTGGCATGTTCAAGTTTCTTCTCCCCCACACTTCAGCTAAAAAAAACACTTCCCAGATGGGTTCAGGAACAATCCCGTGTTTTCAGGTTGGCAATCCAAAATGACACAAGAAGACAGGGTGGGGAGGGAAGAGGAGAAAACGAGCGGGCTTGGGACACTGTGTTTTGCTTTGTGTGTGCGTGTGTGTGTTTTAAAGCTTTGAATTTCCTAAAATACATGGTCAGTCTGATGGAACAGCAGCCTTGGGCGTAGCGAAGTGCAATTGCAGACAGAAGACCCTGCGTGGGGCAGTTTATAGCCTGGTTCCACCCCTTCTCCTCTTGGTTGATGATGTCAAAGTCCTCTTTGTCCCAGAACCACCTCTCCCAATCTGATGCCCTTCAAAGGTGATGGACTACAACTCCCATCAATCCCTACCCAGGCGGGAATATGGGTACAATCATCCCCACCCAGACAGAGGCCAGCCGAACTTGTGTTGCTTGACTTTTCCTGCTGTTAAAAGGGGACCGACGGCTTGTCAACCGGTGCTTACGAGTGTTGCAAACGCTTTAAGGGGTTTTGCGCAAATCTAGCCAATAGCAATTTATTCAGTTAAATCAGGATTCAGGTGGTAATATTTGTTGACATCACGTCCTTGCCTTCTGGACTATGAAGAATTATAATTCATGCTTTAACAATCCTCTTAAATCAGGGAGGGGGGGCCTAAGGGGTCTTTTAGATGAGGTTGGACTACAGCTCCCAGCATCCTCAGCCCAGTCAGCTGTAAGGAATTTGGAACCTGGTGCGGGTTGTAGTCCAACAATAGGCTGGGGACTTTGGGCCAGTGCCTCTCTCTCAACCCAACCCACCTCACAGGGTGGTTGTTGTGGGGAAAATAGGAGGCAGGTGTACTAGGCATGTTCGCCGCCTTGAGTTATATATAAAAAAGGCGGGATAAAAATCCAGTAATAGTATTATTTGTTTATTGAATTTTGAAATCGCCATGATCACAATACTTCTGAGAGATTACTTTAAAAAAGAGAGAGAAATGGGGGAATTAATATAATAATATTCTTTGAGGTCTTCACTGTGCAACTGTATGCATAAAAGTATGAGGGTTCATACTCCTAGCTCTTTCTGCAATTTTCAAACATTTTAAAATTACAAACTCCTGTTTACACATCCTGCTGGGAAGGGCCATCTATCTCACACATACAGGTAGTCCTCGTTTACCAACTGCCTCGTTTAGTGACCATTTGCAGTTATGATGATGAAAAAGTAACTTTACGACCAGTCCTTGCATTTATGCCCTTTGCAGATCTGTACAGCCAAGGAAAGCTGAAGTCAGATCCTAAGCACAGTTGCGGGCTCACGTAGTGACCACTTTGCTTAACAACCAAATTGCCAGTCCTCATTGTGGTTGCTAAATGAGGACTACCTGTACATGAAAACAGCAAAAATCCAATTGGGGTCCTCAGCCTTCTCCATAGATAGTTTAAACACACTGGGCTTTTTAAAAATGCCTCCGAGGGCTAGAAACTTGGATATAAAGCAAAAGGAAGTCAGGACGGCCAAGATGTTTAATTCTGCACACCACCATACGTCTGCTAGTAGGCAAAAGTGGAATCCTAAGCTTTTGGAGCGACTGCTTTTGCAAGAACGTGCCTAACTTGGTTACTGAATTACCCCATTTATAAAATGTGAACCATAAATTAACCACATCCAGCACCAGAAACCCTCCCAAAGCTTAAAACTAGCCAAGTTTAGTCGCAAACGCACCCGTGAGATCTTTAACGCAACCAGAGTGGGACAGGGGTGGCTTTATTCCAGCCCACCCCTTTCCATGGGTGTGTGGAGTGGGGGACAAGTGATGAAATGTGTGCGATGACACCCCCGCGCAGAAGCCGTTTCTCGCACCAGCCTTTGGGGTGTAGGAATGGAATCACAGCCGCGGTGTGATGACAGAACATCGTTTGCCAGCACGGCGGGTTGCCCAGACCTTTTGTGCTATGCGATACGAAAGCGTGTGCCGGAAACTCAAGGGGATGTGTGAAATCACTTATCCTTCCAGCCTAACCAGCAATATAAAATGTCGTGACAGCCTCTTATACACTCGATGCGTCCCTTCCAAGTTCTGCCGTTAAAGAAACACCACCACCTAAATAGGGCATGGCTTGGTTTGCGCACTACACCCTGATGTGCCCATCACGCGTGAACCTGGCCTGCAGCCAGGGATTCAGGCTGGGCTGAACTGTAGTTTGCGGAGCCAGAGTTTGCGAAAGAAATCACAAATGCCTTTGTGCAATGGGCGGTGAGCCAACGCATCAGATCCAGAGGACCCACCGTATCTCTTTGCGCACGTGAACGAACGCGCCCCACCGGAACGGATTGAGTTCTCCTTCCCAACAACTTGCGCCCCGTTGGAAATGGTTATTAGCAAAACTCTTTCGAGGCAAGATTGTTTATCTTGAAAAAAATTGGTAACAGCACAGTGGGCTGTCTAAATGCATCTGAGGTTACCTCTCTCTTCTAAAACGAATAATATCCTTATTGGCCTTATTTTAAAAATAACTGAATTCAGCAAGGAGCAAATGTTATTACGGTCTTTTTCCCCATCCCCACCCCTGGACACCAGTAGCCCTTGAAATCCAGTTTTATATGGCAGCATGTCATACAGGTAGTCCTCGCCTAATGTCCACTCGTTGGTTACAATGGCACTGAACGAGGGGGACTTACGACAGGTCCTCAAAGTTGTGGCCATTGCAGCATCTCTGCGGTCACGTGATCGCCACGTCCACCTTCACTGCCAGCTTCCGACAAGCAAAGTCAACAGGAAAGCCGGCAGGAGGTTGCAAATGGTGATCACGTGACCGCAGGACACTGCGACAGCATGGGATTCGGCTAACGATGGCAGGTGGAACTGCCGGAACTGCCAGCGTAGGTGAGCATGGTCATATGACGTCATGCTTTGTGACCGCAACACTTAGCAGCAGAGTTCCTGGTTCCAATTATCGTCAGTAAGTGAGGACTGCCTATAGTAGATGTGTCACAAAAGGGAACAGGGATGTTTTCTCCATAGCACAACAATATGTACATAAATATGTAGGTACATCCTTTTAATTGGCTGCTGGTAGCGGCTGGCAATTCCCCTCTCCTCCCTGGCCCTCAACCCTGGATGTTGAGTATGGCTCCAACATAAACCTACAGAAGCTCAAAATTCACTTGCACGGAAGGGCAAACGCTTCCCCGGTTGACGTACAACTCCATGAAGTCCTTTTCCTCCAGATTCCGTGGCAAAATTCTAAGTCACCAAATGCATTCCCACATCCCCGCCAGCTGAGCGTGCTCCTGGTGACTTGGTAAACCACGTGCAATATTCTGTAACCCCGTGAAGGCCGACCAGCCAAGCTGGCAGTGGAGTATTGGGTCGGCTGATGAAGCGAAGGTCTCCCAGTTCACGTGCTGGTCAGTATATTACAACTGGATTGGGGATGGAAGGGGGTCTGGCAGATATCTTTGGTCCGCTTCTTGTCCGGGGAGGTCACACGTGCTCCGCAGATGGATCTATAAGGAGGTACCTCTTCAGCTGGTTGGGCAGAACGAGAGCCTTCACCTTCACGTCTACCGGCCAAGGTTGGAGATACTGCCGCAGATAAACTCGGCAGAGGTGTTTCAACGTGGGCGGGGTGTTCTCCAGCTGTTTCAATTTCCCGAAAAGAGCCTTGATCTTGTCCTGATGGTAACGGCAGTTGCTCAGGTCGATCTGGAAGTTGCTAGGCAGCTTCACCACTGGACAGCTGGCCATCATCAGCTCCAGGGTGGTCTCCGCTTTCTGCAGCAAGTCGATGGAAAAGCCGTCATCCTCCGACTCGCTGAGATGGGAGCACAGGCGCTCGAAGATGATGTCGAAGCCCGACCAACACGTGGGGCCGTGGAGGGAGCAGCTATAGGAAGCCCCCGACTCCAGGAGGAAGCGCAAGAGCGGGAAGTGGAGTCGGAAGCTCTTGAGGCAGAGGTGGGTGAGGGATTCGTAGGGCGGGCACTCGCTGGGGTTGGCGCCATGTGCCATAAGCAGCTGCGTCACCTGGAAGCAGAAGCGGTTGATCATCTCAGCCTCTTCAGCGTCGCTTCCCACCGTCTCGCCGAGCAAGAAGATGAGGAAGGTGAAAACGGTGTCCCCGTCTTTTGTGGTGGCCTTGACATCTGCGCCTGACGTGGAGGGGGAAGAAAATCAGATGGTTCACAGGGGATACAGAATACAGGTAGCCCTCATTTAACGACCATTTGTTTAGCGACTGTTCAAAATTACAACGGTGCTAAAAAGTGACTTATGACTGGTGCCCAAAGTTATGACTGTCGCAATGCCCCCACGATCACATGATCACAATCCAGGCATTTGGCAACCAGCTCGCACTTATGACGGTTGCAGCATCCCAGGGGTCACACAATCACCATCTGCAACCTTCTTAACCAGCTTCCGGCAAGTAAAATCAGTGGGGAACGTGATTCACTTAACGACCACAGTGATTCACTTAACGACCACCGCAAGAAAGGTAATAAAATCAGGTCCAGTCATGTGATGATTCGCTTAACAGCCACATCGCTTACTGACCTAAATTCCGGTCCCAAATGTGGTCATTAAGCGAGGACTATCTGTACCAGCCATTGATGAGGCTCAGGCACCACCCTTACAAAAAGACCTGCAAAGCTTGCAAATTAAAAATAGAGACTGCTCAATCTCTTAAGATTTTGGAGAGCTTACGACTATTTCAAGAAATATTCGGTCAGAAGATGGAGTTTCATGAGGCTTTAGCCATGTCCATTTCTTTCCGAGAACTGCACAGCCCAGGAAAACAGGCGGTTACGTTAAAGTGCACACTCCAAATAAAACTTTACCCTCTGGGCAACCCCAGTGCATACATTTCAGTCACCTGAACACCCCGGTTCAAGATCAAGACGGAAGGGCTTCAAAACGTGTAGGAACACAAATGCAACTTATTAAAGTAGCCGCATCTTTCCCAGAGTTGCGCAGCAGCTGTAGAGTCAGGCATGCAATCTCAGGAAAAGCCACGGTTGCTTTAATGAGTGGTGGGCGGGTGCTGGGTTTCTGGTCCTTTTGCCCTCTGAAACACGTTCCAAATTCTTTCTAAAGTATTCCCCAGCTGATCGACGGCATCCCTCCTACCACGATGAAGCAGTGGCAGAATTTTGATCCAACTTATTTACCGTTCCTCGTGTTAACAAAGGGGCGCTGAGGCAGGGTGTCGCAAACCTCAAAAGTGAAAAACAGCAGCCCTTCCTGGATTGACCCGGCAAAGCCCCAATACTGAGCGACGGTGCGGTCATTCCAGGAAGTGCTACAAAGGAAAAGATCCTTGCCCTGCTAATTTGTACATTTTTAAAACAGAGGCTGTTTTTTCTCCCTCTGGGGAAGGGCTGAATGTTAACCAAAGATCCTTCCCACCAGATCTTATGAACCCCATAAAATCTCCCAGCCAGATCTTCCTCTTGAAAAACAGGCTGGCGAAGGTTGCAAAGAACAGGCGCCAATTTTGGGCACGGGACAGATATATTTTACTTTTTTTTTTCTTTTTTCCAATTCTACATCTCTCTTCAGCCTCCTTCCATGCTTCCAACTTAAAAAACCAAAACCAAAACGGGGTTTGGGGGGATTCTGAGCACAGGGAGGCTGCAGACCCGATGATGACACTCACATGTACTTCTTCGCCCTCCGATCACTAAATGGGGGAAAGCGCATTGCCCCCCACCCAGGAGAAATACTCTGAAACGTTCCTCACTTTTGAAAGAGATTTTAGGAGCAAATTCTCTTTCATCCCACCAGGCTGAGAACCGGCGGGGGGGGGGAACGCACAAGAACTTTTTCCGCACAGCGGAAAATCCCCTTTTGTCTTGCGGTAGAATCTGGAAATGAGGGGCCTTCCTCAAAGTTCTGCTTGAAAATTGGCACTAAGGATAGAATTTGGATTTCCCCCAAAACAGCACTGCAGAGGGGCGGGTGGGGAGCAACCCACCTCCTTCCAGCAAAAGGCGAATGTTTTCCGTGTTGTGGATTTGAACCCCGTCACTGCTGGCCAGTGCGTGGAGTAAAGCTGTCTTTCCTGGAGGGAAGGAGAGAGGCATTAGAGGAAGAGCGGAGGAGGAGGGAGGAGGAAAAGAATGACAAGCCAGGAGCCAATTCCATGTGTCTTTGGCCACTCAAGTTTGTTTGTTGTATAATGTCAATCTGACTCGATGGGGTTTGCTTCCTCTTGCCAATTGTGTTTGCAGAAACCTGAATGCACCAAACTAGGGATTAAAATGTTTGTCCCCACAGCAACTTAACCCCGACAAGTGCATGAATGAAAAACAACTTTTTAATCTATGTGTTTATTGCATTTATATCTCAGAAATGTCAAAGTAGCAAATACAAGGGTCTTCCGTGGTTTTATCTACAACAGCCCTATCAGGTAGGTTGGGCCCGAATGTGGCCAGTGAGGTCTGCGGATGAGCGGGGGACTTGAATCTGGGCCTCCCCAATCTAAATCTGACCATGCTCTCACCACTACACCGCACTGCCTTCTCATATTAAACGATTTAAAGGACACCCTGATGGATGGAGCGAGGGGCAAAACTGCTGCTAAAAATCCCCTCAAGGGGGAACAGACCTAACCCAAATTTGTAAAATAACACAGAGACCATCTTTCCCCTCCCAGAATTCTTAGCAGCGTCCCAGTGCCAGCTGGGGAATTCTGGGAGCTGAACCCCAGGCTTTCGGAGGACTGATTCTAGAAGAAGCCAGAAGTGACGTGACTGCGGTTGAATGACATCCGAGATTAAAAAAAGAACCACCAACCATGTTTATCAGCAGCGTTGATGTCGGCTCCGAGTTCTAGGAGACGCCGCAGACAGGGCAAGCGTTCCGGTTCTTCGCTGGCAAGATCCAAAGGGCTACTTTCATGAATCTAAAAACTAATTTTGGGGGGGGGGGGGGGGCTATTATTTTCAACCAGAGCTCTATTTGCTTGACCGTGAATCGATTTATTTGCCGTTCAATTTACCCCCTTCTCAAATTATTCCCACGCAGGCACGTAAGTTCCAATTAAATCAGGGAAGAAACGGATCCGCTGGCTTTGCCTGATCTTTTCCACGGCAGCTCTGAGCCAACTAAGTCCCCGGCTGCCTTCACACAACCTGTTTAACCTTGTTAATTCAACGCATCCGGGTCCTGGAGTGGCTGAACCGTGGCCCAAGCCAGCGGGCAGGCTCCCGGGAGGCGCTCCATTGCGAAAGGAAAGCTCACCAAGGCGAGCCCTATCCAGGGGTTGTGTGAATGCTGGTGGAAATCTAACTAGCCAGGATTAGCCAGTTGGGTGAACTGGCAGAACGGGACGTAAAAAGAGGTGGCTTGCAATTGCAAATCACGTTGGGTCGCGTCCCCCAGCCCAGGAGAAGCATCGCTGACCCTTCAGCTAACATTGAAAGTTTATAAAGTGGATTATCTGAAAACGGGAGTCCCGTCGCAAGGGCGCAAACCTCCCCCAGTTACACCCACTCAGGTGGAGGGTGTCCCTCCTGATGTGGGTAGGGTCAATTTGGGGAGGCGATTTCACCCGTTTTAAGGGGACCCTCAGCCCCTATACCAAAGCACCCCATTCGCGCTCAAGGGGGCTGGAAATGGGACGCTGCTTTTGCGCCAGGGATGAAAATGACGGGTCTTCCCAGCCCCCCTTCGCATGTCACTTCCTCCTTTTCTGCCCCCCTGAACGTGGCCCTCGGAGACCCACGGGTCCCATTCCTTGCTCTTTCTTCCAGCAACGTGGGGATGGTTCACATGGAGAACTGGCACCCCCCCATCTTTCTCCCCGACGTTGCCAACCACATCCGGACGGACTCGGATCACAAACCTTCGAACGCCCAGAAATTCTGGGAATGGGGTCTCCGCACCCCGAGGCTTCAAAATAGGAGGAATGATTTAATCGGTCATTTTAGCAGCCCCCCCGCCCCCCGGTTTGGCTGGCTACGCACCCGGTCTCTGCGGTTGATGTCCGCGCCGCGCTGCACCAGAAGCTCGACCATGTCGGGCTGGTTTCGCAGGACCGCGATGTGCAAGGCTGTGTAATACGTGACCGGATCTGCAAAGGGTAGAAAAGTGTCATCCGAAAACAGTGCATTAAAAACCCCAAACTGTCTCATGGCTGAGGAGGTTTTAAGCTCTTCATTCTCTCCTCGGGGCCCAGAGCAGAGGGTGTGCAAAAAGGGTAGCTGTTTTTCTGTGGAGTCTTCAAAAAAAGTCTTCTTAAAAAAGCTGTTCTTTTGAAGGCAACCGGAGGGAAAAACAACCCATTAAGGATATCCCTTCATTTTGGGGTATAAGCCGTCCCAACCCACATCTTAACAGCCTTCAATTTTTATTTATTCGATTTATATTCTGCCTTGGATTGGGGAGATCCACTGCAGTGCCCCCTTGTTTTCCCCACAACAACCCTGCCAGGTAGGCTGGGCCGAAAGTCAGTTTCCAGCGTGGCTGGTAGATCTGAACCTAGATCTCATCCCCCCAGTCCAAAACCTTAACCGTGCCAGTCCACTGGCACAATTGAAACCAAACTGAGCTGTTGTCCATGGCCCCCAACTTGGATCAAGGGCTGACCATGGCCCCTCGCGTCCCCCAACTTCTGTGCTGCTGACGCAACAGCTGTTGCCCTATCCTACAAGGCTGGTGTGGCAAGAGACAGCAAGAAGAAAGCCTACCGTTCAGCACCGACGCCCCGCAATATGAAAGGCAACAGGGGAAGAAGCAACCCGCCCCCCGCTTCCTCCCCATCGCCCCCCCCAGTCAAGGGCCCTTGAAGACCCCAGCAAGCCAGCCTCGCAGGGAAGCAGCCATGTTGCCCCGGAGACCACCATCTGTAGAAGGGGGTCCAGTGCTTGGAACCTGGGACTCCGGGGGCGGAGCCAAGACCATCAGGGCGGAGCCTTGCAGCTCCCAGCTGTGCAGAGCGACTGAGGGGCGGAGCCTGGTGGACAAGGGGGTGGAGCTAGAGGCCAGGAGGAGAACCCTGGGGTGCCCCTGGGTGCTGCCCGCTATCCTAAGCAGGCCAAAGACATTATTGCAAAGATGGGGCTAGGAGTCCGGGTTCAGCTTTGCAGCAGACCAGCCCCCCCCTCTGCCCCACAACTCCCAGGAAGGGGGGCCAGGAGCCTGGCGAGCTGCAAGGCATTACTTGGAGTCCGTCTGATTTATTTCTTTGATTTATATACTGATCCTAGGAGCCTATCTCTATATGGGCCCCATCCCCATTGCAATCCTAAAGGAAAATAGTGGCACAGCGACATCTACTGGCGGGAAACAGGCAATACAACGACAAACGAGACTTATTTCAAACCAGCTGTTTGCAAATTTAGATGACAACCCCTTTAGTGGCAGGGGGGAGGGGTGGGAAGAGGCCACTAAATGAACCACCCGGGTCAATGCATCCTTAAGTTATCCTTCCTCCCAAATCCCAAAACGAAATAAGGGGAAAAGAGGGGCGGGTGGGAATTCCGACCTTCGAAGGTGATGTCGGCCCCGTTGTGCAGGAGGATTTCTGCCGCCTGGACCAAGCCCAACTCAGCCACCTTCAGCAAAGTGTAGCTGACGCCTTCCTGGTAAAAAGGTGCATGAGATTCTCTGTCCAAAAGTTTCTGGAGAACCCGAAATCGGCCACTGTCTCCGGCCGCACAGCTGGGACTTTTCAAAACAGAGAAAGAGCGGATGAATACAAAAGACCGGACCGCCGGAACAACGCTTCCCCGTTTTCTTATGACAAAACCGAAGAGCCCATTTTTTAAAAAATAAAAATTGGTAAGAGGTAGCTTGGGGGGTTCCTCCTTTTTCAGGCTGGAAATGGGGGGGAGGCTGCAGAGATGAAAATGGGCCCCTCCCTGCACAGGACGATTCCCTCGGCCACCTCCCCAAAAGCCAACTCAAAATCCTAAAATTAACATTTTCCAAATGGTGCAAAAATAGTGAAATCTTGAAATCTGATCCATTCTGGATTTTTATCATCCTATTTTAAATTCATCCTTCGGGGGTCTCCGTTTAGCCTAATTTTTCTTTCTGTTTTTCTTCTTCTTTTAGTTAGGTTTGTTTCAGTTTAGGTAGACATTGCCTTACCCTCATTTTATAATCTACCTAAACTATATAAACAAATTTCTATAACATTTTGAGCCCGCTGCTGTCAGCTGTGAGGTTTGTAAAGAACATTCCACTCCCTTTTTCAATCAGAACGCATTTCCAAAATTCAATTCAAAAACACTCCCGAGAGAAATTAAAAAGAAATTTTCAAGCACCCCGAGAATCAGTTTAAAAAAAATAAACTTTTGCAGCAGGGAGAAAACTTTGGAAAACTGTCAATGTTCCATCAGCCACTCATAAAGGAAGATTTTGGATTGGATTGAATTGGGATTAGAAATTGGGATTATGGATTGGGAATGGAGGGGGGAATCTCTGCAGAAGTTGGTGAGAAATGAACACCTATAGGGAAAGTTTGGAGGCTCTGCTCCTGGGGAATTTCTCCTGCCCAGATTTTCCTGACATTTTGGGGGAGTGATGCAAAGACTATGGTGCTAAAACCAGGCTTCTGAAAAACCTCCTTGGGCTGCAAAGAAAATTCTGTTTTCTATGTCACTTGGGGGGTCTTCACGGTATAACAGAAAATAATGGTGTGCAATGCTGACCTGTTCGGTCAGAGGAAAAAAATGACAATTTTTTGAGTGGAAATCTTATACGGACTTTTGGTCGAAAGAAGAAAAGACTGAATTGATGATCTGGGGATGAAAAAGGGATGAAGAGGAGGAGGAAAAGATTAAGATAGTAATTACTTGATAGAAAAGACGGCATAATTGTACGTCGGTTTCATTTGCTTCTTCTCTATTTCTTCTGTTTTGTATACTTTTACTATGTTGAAAAATTGTAATACGTGTGTGTGTGTGTGTGTGTGTGCAACCCTGAGCTACGTATTTTCTACATTGGAAGAAAATATATATCTATATATCATATACATGCCAATAGAAGAGAATCTATGTAGCTCAGAGTTTATGTAATATGTAAAATATATATATATATTACATATTACATATATATACACTGTATACACACACACACACACACACACACATATATATATATATGAAAATAATGGTGTAAAATAAAACTTTCAGCCTGAAGGGAGTCTGGAAGACTGCTCCAGAAGGAATTCTCACAGAAGAAGGTTGCCAAAAAGCTCATCGTTTTACAAGGAAAGGAAACGGTGAAGACTTTGCAGAACGGATTTGGCCTAATCAAAAGAAGCAGAAATTCCTCCCAGCCCCTTTTCCGTGCAACGGGCGACGGTCAAGGATCGAGAAAGGTTCTAATCCGTTTCAGGATTTGTAAATATAGAGCAAAGAACAGTTTGCAAGCTTTCGTTTGTGGCAAGACGGAGTCCGGCTTGGATGTAGCGTGAATGTTTTTTGGGAGGGGGGGAAGAATCGCTTTTCCGATCTTCATCCTTAAAGCTGGTTACCTCTCCGGTGATTCTTGGTGTTCGGGATCTTGCAATCCTAAGGCTTCTAGGATAGCGTCTACCAGCGGCTGATACTCGAAGATGATTCTGCGGAAGCCATGGAGAAACGGCATGCTTTTCAGCATTCCTCCAGAAAAGTCTTCTGATCTCCCAGCCGAGCCGTTACTTCGCTTCAGCTTCTTCCTGGCCTGTTCTAAAAACAAACAAAAAAATCAAAGCTTGGAGACACTGATTCATAAAATAAATAAATAAGACGATGAAGCCACTCCGACCGTGAACAGGAGGCCAAGCAGAAGATCCTAGCCCAACTTGACGGGTCTCAGAAGCTAAGCCGGGTTGGATCAGGCGAGAAGTCGGATGGGAGACCACAAGGAAACCCCGGGGCTGCAGGCTAGGCGGAGGGGTTGGGGAGAAATATTTTGGAAGGAGGGGGTGATACCCCACGGCTTTATGGCAGCCTGTCTCTTAAAGTAATTTTAAATTACAGTTGACATCTCATGAGGTTTTGGCCATCTCTCCTTAGCTCCGGTGAGATTCCGAGGGAGAATGCTGAAATCCCGCGAGATTTCAGGCAAGAACCTGAGAGTTCTCAAGAGGGAGAGGGTTGAACCCTGATTTGAAGATCGGGCTGAGATCAGGGGCAATTTTGAATTTAAAAATTGGGAGCAAGCCATGATCGCTTATTACTCTAGAGCAGCGTCTCTCAAGCTTGACAACTTTAAGATGGGTGGACTTCAACTCCCAGAATTCCCCAGCCAGCCATGCTGGCTGGAGAATTCTGGGAGTTGAAGTCCACCCATCTTAAAATTGTCAAGCTTGAGAAACGCTGCTCTAGATTCTTCAATGGGATCCCATCTTTGGGGGAAAAAACTGCATTGACTATAGACTGATTGAAAGAGGATTCCAAAACGTTGGGGCCACCATTAAGGCGGCCCCGTCTTTTAACACATGCAGTTCTTGCTGATTTTAAAGGCAAACGCTGGAAAAAGACCCCTAATAGAGACAGACAATTCCTCAAAGAACCTGCCCTCAACTCATGGAAGATCTAGCCAACCTTGGCCAGCTGCACACTGAACTTTGGCAGGTAAGAACCACCTTCAGATGATGCACCAAGGGATTTTTTTTTGATAAGCCAAGTTGGGAACAAATTCTTCTACCCTTACACATAGACACACACCTCTCCCAGATTAAAAACTGTCCATGGAATTTCAGGAAGGATTTGCAAAGGTAGAGTCAGAAACACAAGGTAATTCCTTCAGGTCCATCCTGAAGATCTTTCAGGGAAGGGTGGAGGTCATGCTGTCAAGTCCCAACAGGAATTCCTGGAAGGTGCCCTGGAGATATTGCCTAAGCAGGAGAACCCAAGGTCATCTAAATATGGATTTTTGACCCTAACAGTTCCTAGCCCTGGAGGTCAACACCTTGACCAGATCTATGGCCTAGAAGATCACGGCCATCCTTCAATTGCACGTGTGTTTCTAGTGAAGGACAGCTGTCCAACCAGTAACTCCTCCCACCCCCCACCCCAGAAAGAATTCTTTGATTCAACTGCCACCTCCAGAATCTGAGAAAAGTTTTGCTGGAGCAGACCAAAATTCCAGGAAGGAAGGGACATGGAGACCCTTGGCAGGCCACTTAGGTGGGTTTCATGCATGGCACAGGGGTCATTTTTAAGCAGAAGCCCAAATGGAGCCCTGGGTCCTCACTCAGCTGCAATGTCACCCATTTGGTTCATCCTCTTGAAGAAAAACCAAGGTCTCCGATGTGAAATTTCTGCAAAGCCTTGGTGGTTTCTCTGACGCGTCGTTCCTGCAAGCCAACATTTCTTTCACTTGACAGGAGAGCCTCCCCAGAGTTCCTGTTGGGACTTGTCAAAGATCTTCAGAATGGATCTTAAGGAATCCCGTGGTGGTGGTTTCTGACTCTACTTCGGCACATTAGTCCCTCAAAGCCAACTTGATTCCTCCCCTTCTTTTCTAACCAGCTGTGGGCCACGGTGGCTAAGAATTAGCGGAGTTGCAAACTGTACGACAACCAGCAGTCCTAGCTCTGTCTTGATTGTAAGGTTACATTAACAGGCTCTTGCCAATCTGAAAGTATGTCTCTCCCCCCTTGCCTTTACAGTCCAAGAAACTAAGGAGAGTCCCTTCTGAGATACTTCCCATGCCCCTTTTCCTTCTGTGGGCTAAGCTGCCTCTTATCTGACCACTGCCTAGTCTGTTGCTCCTCTTCCTCCTGTCTCCCAAGGTCATTCCCACTGACCATTACAGACCGCAGTCTTAAGGTTTGGAAGAAAGTCCTTGTAACATCTCAAGAGTGCGTCCAGAGACCTAGAGGCTGGAAGCTGCTAGATCATGGCTATATTTTGTTTTATTCTGAACTCTTGCCCATCCACCCAAAAGGAACTCTGGTTGGCGAACACAATAAAAACCACACTAGGATAAAGCAACTGTTGGAAGCAATGAACTGTGTGGAGGCCCCAATTTAAAAGGAAAACAAAACTAAAAAATAAATTATCTTTGCATGCAGAAGGAGGCTCTAGCGAGGCTAATCAAGGCGGCCAGATGTTCCCCCCTCCTTTTTTTAAGAGGCAGGGCAGGGATGTATCACACACCCAACTCCCTCCCTCGTTTCTTAGAAGGCAACAGCCCCGTTAAGGAGGGCCGAAAGCAAGCCGTGAGACATTGCAAGCCGTCAAAGGAAAAATAAATTAACCAAATCGCAGCCCCCCTGGCTGGGGAGTAAACCAAGCCCCCCTGTCGCATCTGGAATAAAAACATCCAATGGCCACCCCAAGAGTCAATAAACCGACTTGCAACGCCTCTCTTCCCAGGATAAAAGATGGAGAGAAGTGAGTCATCCGCCTCCTTCGGATCATTCACTCCTCTCCACCCGTTGGGGAGATGGGCGGCATACAAATTGAACAAATAAATCCATCGATACAAATTTTTAGGGCAGGGCTGTTTTGGCCCAATTGCTTCGTTGCCGACCAACGAAAGGCTGGATCTGCCCAAGAGGTGAAGCCTAATCTTGGCTTGCTCAGAGAGATGAAAATTTGCAGGCTGTGGGAACGGAGGGCGAACCCAGTCGGCGTGGCTTGTTTGGCAGATTGTGGTCCACGCACACCTTGGCTTAGCGCGTGACTCCGGACACCGTCCGACGACGCCTGTTTCCAGCGGCGCTGACCTGGAAGAACGTGAATTCTTTTGAATCCGTAAATACACATTTCGTTTCTACTTTGGAGGCCCCCGAGTTCGAGCCTTCCCCCCTGAGAAACGAGGAAAATAGTCGCCTCCCCGATCCCCACCAAGGAGGAGCAACCTTTCCCCTCTGGCAGGCTCGGGGTACGCTGGCACGCCAACCCCATCATCCACAGCCAGCGTGCCCCATCGAATGGCGGGGTGGAGATTAAGGGAACTGGAGTCCCCACGCAGGAGGGGGCCCGTTCGGTGAACGACACCAAGTCCCAAGCAGCCAGATAAAGCGAGAATCAATAAATTATCATTACTATAGCAGCAGCATTACTAATAGTCACAGAGCCATACTAGTCCTACTATTACAACCAACATCCTTAGTAATAGTACTCACAGGCCAATATCCGAACAGCCCCGCTTGCTCTACTTATTAATATATCAATGTCTACATGATGCATTTATTTTTATTCTCGCTGCTGCTGCTGCTGCTGGCCCTGCTCGCGCACGGCCCTTGCAAGCGCAAAGGGGCTTACTCGGGAGTAACCCCGCCCGCTTCCTGAAAGCTCTTTTCTCTCTTTTCCTCCTCTTGCAAAGCCGCCTCCTTCCTTTTCTTCCTCCTCGTTTGCACCATGAAGCCAGCCAAGCCTTTGAACGAGGACGGGGAGAAGTGGAGATTTTCCACTTTGCAATTGAGCAAATTTGTCAAAAATTAAAAGAGGCTGCCCGGGCTTAGATTCCTTACCCGCCTCTTTGCAAAAAAACTTTCCTCTCTGCAAAATTTCCACCCACCGTCTCGGAGAAAACTGCAAATATTTTTCTCCTCCGTCTGACTCCGATTTACACGGGTTTCCCTTCTTTTTTTTTTTTTGCATCCGGGAGGATGCAGGAAGCGGAAGAAAAATGCAGCAGTCGCTTTCGGTTGCAAAGGGACAATTTGCAGAAAGCCGCTTTATTTTATTTTATTTTTTCCCTCTTGCCCCCTGCAGGTTGGAGGGAGATTTCTGGCTGTCTGAAAAGCACCCGAGTTGCGGGTTCAAACGACCTCTAGAGGGCGGACTTGGCCTGGTAGAAAGATTTTAAAAAAATGCAATTTTTAAAAAATAAATTAAGAATTTTGGTTTCAAATTTAAGATTTTTTTTTAACATATATGCAACCGGGTAGACAATGCACGGAGCTGGAAGATATCCTTCTCTTTGGGGCTTCTGTACTGGGGCTTTTAACAGTGTTTCTTTTGTTTTATTTTTAATCTCATTTAATTTTTTACTTTTTAGTTCATTTATTTTTTGTTCATTTTTATTTTATTTTATTTTTCAGTTGATATATTTGATATTGCACTTTCTGTTTTTTCTTCGTGTGCAGGACAGGCTTGGACCCCCCCACTCCCCCGAGTCCTCATCCATTGGGGCAGGCAATAAATATTGCAAATAGGTAAATTTCCTATTCCATGCAATCAGATTCGATTCTTTTTCCTTTGCTTTAAAAAAAACAAAACTTTATTTTTGTATGGCAAGTCCGAAAAAATACAAACAAGGAACGAAGAAAGATAGCAACTACAAATAATAAAAACCGATACACGGAAGTTAATCAAAGAACATAATACGTGATAAACAAACAAAGCAGAAATATAAGCAAAAGAAAATTAGCAATGATCAAATAACATAGGAAGATTTCAGATTTAAAGGGAATAAGAGATCTGCGCCGATGGGAAACATACTGCATCGTTTTTACAAACTTTTTTTCTTGTAATAATAATGTATTAAACTCGTATATTCCTCTCGGCTCTGCACGGCTTTGGGTGGCTCACGGCGCTCAGTTCAATATTAATTACAATAAAACCAGTATCAGTTCAGTGAAACCAAGGAAATCAAGTCTCTCACATCCTCATTCACGTTTTCGGGTTTCGCACTTGTTTTTCATCGTCGGTGGCTCAAACGGGGGCAAATCTGCCTCTTGGATGCATTATAAAGGAAGCGGGTTTTGCACCTGTTGTAATTATTTAATTAATATGTATCTACTTTGTTGTTCAGTCGTTAAGTCGTGTCCGACTCTTCGTGACCCCATGAACCATATTGCGCCAGGCCTTAAGTCGTGTCCGACTCTTCGTGACCCCATGAACCATATTGCGCCAGGCCTTAAGTCGTGTCCGACTCTTCGTGACCCCATGAACCATATTGCGCCAGGCCTTAAGTCGTGTCCGACTCTTCGTGACCCCATGAACCATATTGCGCCAGGCCTTAAGTCGTGTCCGACTCTTCGTGACCCCATGAACCATATTGCGCCAGGCCTTAAGTCGTGTCCGACTCTTCGTGACCCCATGAACCATATTGCGCCAGGCCTTAAGTCGTGTCCGACTCTTCGTGACCCCATGAACCATATTGCGCCAGGCCTTAAGTCGTGTCCGACTCTTCGTGACCCCATGAACCATATTGCGCCAGGCCTTAAGTCGTGTCCGACTCTTCGTGACCCCATGAACCATATTGCGCCAGGCCTTAAGTCGTGTCCGACTCTTCGTGACCCCATGAACCATATTGCGCCAGGCCAGGGTGACAGTATACAGCCTTGTCGTACTCCTTTCCCTATTTTGAACCAATCGGTTGTTCCATGACCGGTTCTAACTGTTGCTTCTTTATCTACTTTAATCAATATTTATTCTAGGTTTACTGTAAACCGCCCAGAGTCACCTCACAGGGACAACATTTGAAATGTAAATAAATAAAATAAATACAGTTCAAAGTTCTCCCCCCCCATTTTCATCCTCGCAACGCCAACCCTGCGAGGTAGGCTGGGCTAAGAAGCGGCCCCAGAAGCAGAGAAAGATTGAGCATCGCGATGGGGCAACCTGTTAATTTAGGTTTTATTTCATGGTTTATTATCTTGGGGGGACCCGGCCCCGCGGGTGGTTAGTAATAAAGCCAATTCACAGGAGGCAAGCAATGATTTCAGGATATTTTACAATAATATCTTGTATTGTTCATATTGTAGTAGTGAATCCATTGGTAAACCAGGGGCTCTTGATAAGTACATACTTTTTAAAGTATATCTATTCTTTATATATATATATAGTAGGTCCTTCCTCCCCCCCTTCTTCGTCTGCATGTTTAGTTTGCACTTTTAATTTTTTTTTTAAAAAAATTATTTTAAGATTAATGATTGTTTTGTAAAAAAAAATAAGTAATCATAATAAAGTTTTTTTTTTTTAAAAAAGGGAACCGCTCCTGGGCTGAGAGAGGAGCAAAGAGATTGGGGATGAGAATATCCGGAGATGTGC